TTCTGCTCCCCTGCCGGCAGAGCTCCGGCTGGCTGCGGGCTCTGCGCCGCTCCCCTGCCACAGCCCAGCCCCGTGTCACGCTCACGGACACAGGCAGTGCATGTGTGAAACGTGCCAGTGGAATGACGTGCAGGCGTCCGTCATGTCGTGGCTTCTCTTGTTGGAAACAGAGTAAACCCTGCTCGTGAAACAATTGTCACAAACCTGAAATACGCCGGCTCATGTGTACAAATAACAGTGTTTGTTCTAACAGCAACCGGGACTTGAACTGCAGGGCAAAGGCCGAGGTTCAAACAGAATAAAAACAGATTCTGACAGTGAGACTCCCTGCTTCTTGCTGTGCTTGGACACGAGCGGGATCCTGCTGCTGCTTGTCCCTGACAGGTGACACTCCATCCGAAGGAGGTTGTGCGGTAATCGTAGAATCACAAAATCATTTGGTTGGAAAAGCTCAGAGAGCCACGTCCCCCTTCCTCTGGGGACAAACCCATTTGAACCCGAGGCTGATCTGCCAGCAGCTGGGTTTGGGCTGGGGTTAATCCAGCTGTAGGTGCCAGGGAGCCCAGCAGGCTCTGTGTGGCACCCTGGCAGAGCTGAGCCCGTGTTTCCATGCGGGCAGGAGAGGCAGGTGCTGCTCTCCCATCCTGTCCAGATCCCTGCCTTCTGCTGCAGGACATGCTCAAGCTGTGCTTTCTCCACTTCCAGCTCCACTGGCACCTCCATAAAACTGATATCCTGCATCAAAGCAGCTAAATTGGATCAGCCCCAGTGGCCATCTAGCTTAGCATGGAAAACAGGGGGTTTCTTGTCACGACAGCTGTACATGAAGGGTCTGATTACGGAGGAATAAACAGCATCCTCCTCACGTGGCTCAGCCACACAACAGGGCTGCTGTATCCTGTTGGAGATCATAGATTCATGGAATAGTTAGGGCTGGAAAAGGCCTCCAAGGTCACCGAGTCCCCCAGCGCTGCAAGGCCACCACTAACCCATGTCCCCAAGTGCCACATCCACATGGCTTTAAATCCCTCTAGGTGTGGGACACCACCACTGCCTACATTGGGCAGCTGTGCCAGGGCTGGGCAGCCCTTTTGGGGTCGGACGGGGCTTGGAGCAGCCTGATCCATTGGAAGGTTCGACTGGATGGGTTTTAAGGTCGCTCCCAACGCACATCCTGCGATTCCATGATGGGAGCCCCTCCTGCAGGCCATGGGTATAGCGGGCGGCACGGATGGACTGCATTTCCCAGCG